AGCCCCCCGGCGCCGCCGCAGTGCACTCACCCCAGCCCGGGCGCGCGCGCCCCCGGCCACCCTGGCGCCCGGGCATCCTGTGCCGCACAAGCCGTCTCTGCAGACACCCAGACAAAGCGCCAGCTCGCGGGCCCCTTCACCATCCGAGAGATGGGAGCCTGTGTCACATGTCGCTGGGCACCCTCCCCGTACACCCACACACACCCACACGGCCCCGCACCGCAGGCAGGGCCGGGCGCAAACCGCACTGTTGCCGGGACCCTCGCGATCACAGACACACACTGAAGGTCATAACCGTTCTGCATCACCGAGTCACGTGGAGGGTCCCCAAGAGGCACGGGGCTGGGGGCGAGGGGCTGGGACGACGCCCCCGGCGGGGCAGCCGCGGGTGGGGGGCGCATGGGTGGGGCCGCGGAGCTCGGCTCCGGACAGGCGTGCCCGCATCAAGCTCACCGGAGCGACCGGGCTCCGCCTCCTGCCGGATTGGCGCATACCCCGGGTCCCAGCGGGCGGCGGCGGCGGCACCGGTTTGCAGCCGTGCCTGCGGGCCTTTCCTGCCCTCCCGTCGGGGCCCGGCCTTGTCCCAGGGAGAGCGGCCTGGGGTGAGCTCGCCCTCCACCCCACCCCGAGAAAGGGTTCCCGGCGGGAGGGGGGACGTTACGGGGCTGGGGTGGGAGCGCCGAGGGCTTGGACCCAGGTGGGCGCTCCGCTCCTTCATCTGTGCTGCCACCGCTGGTGTTCTGCCCGCGGGCACTTCTTCCTCGGCTACCAAAGCCGCCCCTGCCGCGGTCACCTCCCTCCAGACCCTGTTCTAGGCCTGGGCAGGGGGTAGGGGGTGGGAACTCAGGGAAATGGAGACCGAATCCATCCCGGGGCAAGTTCTTCAACCTCGGCAAAAGTTTTCTGATTTAGGCCAGTGGACGCTCATTGCACTTGGTGGGGATGAGGGGGGTGGGAAGGATGTGCAGCTGTGAGGGTTTAGCTACCTGGCAGCTGGAGCGATTTTTCTTGCCCGTCCCTGGGCCTCAGCGGGAGCCTTTGTAACATGAGGGGCCGGAGCCCTCCCAGGTCCACTCTGGTGCTCAGTGGCTTCAGCTGTTTCTTTCTTCCTCGGCACACCTGTTTTAGCATCAGGCACTGGCCGCCCTGTGAGGGGGTGAGAGGTCCATGTGTGGCCCCAGAGCTTACAGCCTCGGGGGCGTGCTGCGGACAGCACAGGCTTCTAGCTCCTGGCTGGCAGGGTGGGTTCTTCAGGTGATTTAACCAGCGTTTATTTCTCTTCTGGAAATCTGGTGGTTAAGTGCTACGGCTGCTAACCAAAAAGTTCCGCAGTTTGAATCTACCAGGTGCCCCTTGGAAACTCTATGCGGCAGTTCTACTCTATGAGTCAGAATCGACTCCACGGCCATGGGTTATTTCTCTTCTCAAATACCCAGCTGAAATGCCCTCATTTCTCTTTTATTATTTTTTTTATTGTAAATATACGTATAAAATTTGTCATTTTAGCCTTTTTTAAGTGTACAATTCAGTGACATTAATTAGATTGACCACATTGTGCGGCCATCACCTCTATCCATCCAAACATTTTCTCACCCCTAAGAGAGTTTGTGCCCTTTAAGCATTAACTCCCCACTTCCTCTTCCCCCGAGCCCCTGATGACCTCCAATCTACTTGCTGTCTCTAGGCATTTGTCTATTCTAGGTAATTCACATACGTGGAATCATGCAGGATTTGTCCTTTGGTGTCTGGCTTGTTTTGCTTTGCGCAATGTTTTCAGGGTCCATCCATGTCATAGGGTCAGGACATCATTTCTTTTTATGGCTAAATGATGCTCCATTGTGTGCATGGCTCCCACTGTGTTTATCCGTTCAGCTGTTGATGAACACTCGAGTTATTTCCACTTTTTGGCTGTTGGTAATGTTGCTGTGAATGTCGGTATACAAGTGTCTGAGTCTCTGTTTTCAATATTTGGGGCATACATCTAGGAGTAGAATTTCTGGTTCATATGGTAATTCTAAGGGGCCCTGACGGCACAGTGGTTGAGCGATTGGCCGCTAACTGAAAGGTCAGGGTTCAAACCCAGCAGCCACTCCACGGGAGAAAGATGTGGCAGTCTGCTTTCATAAGGATTACAGCCTTGGAAACCCTATGGGCCAGTTCTACTCTGTCCTATAGGGTCGCTGTGAGTTAGAATCGACTCAGTGGCAATGGGATGGTAATTCTATGTTTAACTTTTTGAGGAAGTGCCAAAATGTTCTGCACAGCAGCTGTACCATTTTACATTCTTATCACGAATATATGAGGGTTCCAATTTTTCTACATCTTCGCCAGCACTATGATTTTTTTGATTTCTCATTGGTGACAGTGACGCTTTTATTTTCCTCTTCAGAATATTAGTGTTCAAAGAGTAACGCGTTAAGATTTCAAACTTAAAAATTGGTATCCAGGGTAAAGGGAATGGTGTTCTTGCGTCCATCTCCAATGAGACATCGAGAAAAGAAGCTTAAGTTGCAGCTTAAAGAAGATATTTGTAATCTTGAGTTACAGGAAATCCTCCAATGGGCTGGGGCAGACCCTGGCGTTTGTCTTCCTTTGGAGTCTCAGAAGCAGAGAGATGTGTCTGGGATGATCTAGGTGTGACTGTAAGACAATTAACTTCATTTATCTTCTCAAACTTGAACCTGAGGAATGGCCTGCGGATCCTAAGGCATGTCCACAAGAGCCGAGGGAGCGTGTAGTTAAAACACTCTCTAAGAGAAAACATCCTTCTTCCTCCCATCTTTAAAAACAAACCCTCCCCGTGACTGCCTATCCAACTCCTCCTTACCTCCCCATTTCTCTAATAGCCATCCTAGTGGGTTTGAAGTGGTATGTTATTGTGGTTTTGGTCTGCATTTCCCTAAAGACTAATGATGTTGAAAATCTTTTCATGTGCTTATTGTTGTCAGGTGCCCTCCAGTCCGTTCCGACGACACATAGCGACCCCACGTACAACAGAACGAAACATTGCCAGGCCCTGCGCCACCCTCACAATCGTTGCTATGTTTGAGCCCACTGCTGCAGCCACTGTGTCAGTCCATCTCGCTGAGGGTCTTCCTCTCTTTCGCTGACCCTCTACTTTACCAAGCATGATGTCCTTCTCCAGGGACTGATCCCTCCTGATAACATGTCCAAAGTAGGTGAGACGAAGTCTTGCCATCCTTGCTTCTAAGGAGCATTCTGGCTGTACTTCTTCCAGGACAGATTTGTTCGTTCTTCTGGCAGTCCATGGTATATTCAATATTCTTTGCCAACACCGTAACTCAGAGGCATCGATTCTTCTTTGGTCTTCCTTATTCATTGTCCAGCTTTCGCATGCATATGAGGTGATTGAAAATACCATAGTTTGGGTCAGGCTCACCTTAGTTCTCAAAGTGACATCTTTGCTTTTTAACACTTGAAAGAGGACTTTTGCAGATTTGCCCAATGCAATATATCATTTGATTCCTTGACTGCTGCTTCCTTGGGTGTTGATTGTGGATCCAAGTAAAATGAAATCCTTGACAACTTCAATCTTTTCTCCATTTATCCTGATGTTGCTTATTGGTCTAGTGGTGAGGATTTTTGTTTTATGTTGAGGTGCAATCCATACTGAAGGCTGTGGTCTTTGATCTTCATCAGTAAGGGCTTCAAGTCCTCTTCACTTTCAGTAAGCAAGGTTGTGTCATCTGCATATCACAGGCTGTTAATGAGTCTTCCTCCAATCCTGATGCCGCATTCTTCTTCATATATTCCAGCTTCTCAGATTATTTGCTCAGCATACACATTGAATAAGTATGGTGAAAGGATACAACCCTGACGCACATCCTTCCTGATTTTAAGCCATGCACTTGCTATGTTAGAATGACTGTCTCTTGGTCTATATACAGGTTCCTCATGAGCATAATTAAGTGTTCTGGAATTTCCATTCTTTGCGGTGTTATCTGTAATTTGTTATGATCGACACAGTTGAATGTCTATGCATAGTCAATAAAATACAGGTAAACATCCTTCTGGTATTCTCTGCTTTCAGCCAGGATCCATCTGACATCAGCAATGAAATCCCTGGTTCCATGTCCTCTTCTGAATCCAGCTTGAATTTCT